CCGGCGAGGCACTCACTCACTCACCAAAGCCCGGTAAGGTCAAGGCCGGCGGCGATGGTCGACGCTCACCTGGGCCGTCTTCCCTCCCTTGCGCTCGGGCACAGCAGTCGAAAACGGCCGTGGGCCAGCTGATTTCAGCTGGGTGGCCCATGATCGTTTAAATGAATTGTTTTTCATTTATTCTTTATTATTTGAAATTTGAAATGGTTTGAAAAATGTTTGGGTACTCAAAGTTGCTCCAAATTTGTTGAAACAAATTTTGCTAGGTTCCTTATCAGCAAATCTACTTGGGAAAATTATTGCATGTCATTTTAGAGATACTTTGCTGTAGAATTTAATTTAATCATGAATATCGCTGATAACTTGAAAAATATGTAGAAAAATATATAGGCTTCAGAAAAATATGATTTCAAGTTTGTTAATCTTCTTATGTCCTGTACTTCCTAGGAAAAATAGGTTTCATGCATGTGCTGTGAGAAAATATTGAGGTGTAGTTCAAGTGCCTTTAATGGTTAATTTTTGTTATTTTTGTTAGAGAGCAAACTTTGTATAAAACATGCATGTGATAAATTTTGTACAGTCATTGTATGCCATGAAGAACATAGGAAAAATACTAATTTTGTTGTTTGACACTTTTCACAGTACAAAGTATTTTCATGTTCATGATCATGCCATAGCTTGTCATTTTTGTGTAGACTATTTTACTTATCCAAACGCCATGAAAATTTTATGGTAGTCTACTTAGAGTAGTACTATGCTACTGTAATTTTCTTAGATTTTTATAAGCACCAGAAATATAGGTTGTTGTTGTAGCCCTAGTTTAAAATGAAATAAAATAATCCTCTTTAATGCAAGTTAGTTAATAATGTTAACTTTGGTGTATCTTTGAAGCATTTAATAAGATGTGTTGGCTTAACCTATTAGTAGTAGAAGAGAATGCAGTAGATGACATGTGCTTGTGGTATATTTTCTTGGATGATGTTGACTACCTTGCATTCGAACATATCCATTGTATTCATCTCATCCGATGCACCGATTGCATAAGCACTTACACACATTGCATCATACAGGATCGCAAACCGAGAACCCAGTCGTCATACCTGAGGAGCCCGAGGAGCGCTTCGAGGTGTGCGCAGCAGAAAGTGCCGGTAGCAAGCGAGGAGGACGTTGAGGAACTTCCGGTGCCCCGATCACCGTCCGAAAGCTCCTTGAGAGAGGCAAGCCCCGAGCATCTTTCTCCGGTTTGCAATGATTTAATTAAATGCTTTACTTTAAATTGATGCATTACGTTCAGGAGTTGTTTGCAACCGTTCTTTGCATTATACCTTGTTTACCTTTGTTATACTATATCCTTGTTACCTGGTATCCGCAATCAGTCAATGCTTAGTCCGGGCTTAGACCGGTAGAAGTCGGGTGATTTCCACCACGAGCTATAGGTGGTTACACGGATCTCGCTTGGATGACTATGAAGTCATGGTATAACTAAGTGTTAAATGAAGTTGAGACCGGACGGAGACTTGCGAGTTTTGGACCGTAGTGTTTCCGTCAGTAATCGATTAAGGACCGACCGTTGTTGGGCCTCGAGTCATGTTGAACGCATGCCTTACATTTAGCTGGTCGGATAAAGTACCTTCCGACCGCTGAAGCCGGGAGATTTTTCGGGCCGAGTAGATTGCCCAGCACAAGACTGTGTGCGAAGCGGTGTGTGGTAGGACACGGGCGGGATGATAAGACCAAAGTGCGATCGGTCGGCCCCGGTACATGTGGTTCCCGGCAAACTCGAGATACCCGGAAAGTTGACTCGGTAATCAATATCTCACTTTAGTGGGTGAGTGAGGTTTGTGTAAGGAATAAATCACCACCGGTTAGGAATCGATTCGAATCGCCATCGCTCTCCCGGATAGTGAGCACTTGACTTGAGTTACTTCATCGTAGTAAATGTTTATGGAACACTTGGACGATTATAGTGAATATGACAAGATGGAAGTTGTTTAATGATCAGTGGTTATCATTATTTGCTTAATCACATGTTTACTCTAGTATAGGTGCAAATCTAGTCGATAGGTTAATAATAATTAACTTGACAATAATGCTTTTAGAAAGGTTCTTGAAATGCTAAAAATGCTTCTTTTGCAAATGAGTCAGCTACCATACTATAAAGCCTTTATAATCCTTGGTGTCATTTATTTTCGGTTATGTCGGGTAAGTCTAGCTGAGTACCTTCTCGTGCTCAGGGTTTTATTCCCACTTGTTGTAGATGGACAGATGTATTACGGCTATTGTATCAACTGCCTTTATCCTGCGATGGGTGATGCTTAGGACCATGGGCATGGTCATTCCTTACGTCTCGTCTAATGCTTTTGTTGGAGATGATCATTCGATGGCACTATATTTGAACTCCGCGTGAGTGTGTGTATGGTTTGAACAAATGGCTTCCGCTACTTTTATTCGAACTGGTTTTGTAATAACTATGTTTAAACTCTGATGTATCTGAGATTGCGAACTTTTATATAATATGTGATGGTGACCGCTAAACTTATTACGATCTTGGCTGGAATGGAAGTTGGTTTGAAATCCTTCGTGATTTCACGGACTACCGGGTTATACGGGCTTAAGTTTGCTAAATCGTCTGCTCTGGCGGATGATTTTCTTACTTAATTTCGTATAATTGGTTGGTTCTGTTACAAAAGCCTCCCACATACCTCTAGGCATCGATAGTGGGCGTCAGGGTTCACCATACCTGGTACACGGGGTAGGTCTCCTCACACACCAATAGTATTTTGTAGGTACCGACATCCACCCTTCCTGAAGAAGCCAACGCAACCTTCTATGTGCACCTGACATTCTACAGTGACATCAACAATATTGTGGGTGCCTACCATCATCGCTACCCTCATCGGCGTGGGCAACAAGGCTTAGAAACATCCGTACTCTCTCCCTCTCATCTGTAAAGCCATCCCCTTTATCTATAAAAAGGGATGCGCTCCCTCCAACGAAAGAGGTCCACTTCTTCAAGTTCAGGCTCACTAGATCGATAGCTCAAAAACCCCTCAAGCACACGCTTGAACACCTAGCTCATAGCGAAGTTCCGGTCGCCCTCGGCACTTCCGATCGGACCCGACCGGGCCTCTCGTACAGCTCTCCTTTCTCCTTTTCGTTTGTAACCCCGCTATAGACTTCGAGCACCTGGGCTCAGGAATAAAGTCACCGACCGACCCACACTGGACGTAGGGCACGTTGCCTGAACCAGTATAAATCCTGTGTCATTGAGTGCTAGGCCACCTCCGATCACAACATACAGTAAAACTATAAATATTCACTAGTTGGTCACTTTCTGTACCGACAATTTTATTAAAAAATAGTCTAGATCATAAGCTACGCTTACTACAGTTGAACGAATAGTCCTTTCAGCTTGCAACGCGACAAAAGATATTGAACTTTACACAAAATAGTTATATGTGTAGTAGTATTATTTTATAAAAATATAGAGTGCTTAACATTAAGTCACCAATATTAATATGGCATAATATTTCAGCCAAAATGTATAAGTTTTTTTTAAACGATAATTTTCAAAAAAAAATATTATAATAGAATATTAATATAATTTGAAGTGAATTATCAGTGTCATTATTATTATTATTGACATATATGGGATTTGTTGAGGAAACATTTTTCTACACTTACTAAACTATTAAAATAAACATTTAACCAAATGTATACATGTTAACTTCCTCTATATGGTGGAACATATTATTCACTCGCTAATTCCGCAGTTTGCTAGGGCCTTCTCTCTGCAATTCAGTTGACTGAACTCGAGTAGGAGTGCACAAAAGCATCGTACTTAGTTCGTAGGGCCTTCTCTCTGCAATTCAGTTGACTGAACACGAGTAGGAGTAGGTCACATATTCACATGTTACATGTCAGTCCAAACTCCAAAGAGGCAGCTAAAATATGCTCCAAGCCTCCAAGGACGAGGGAGATCTCAATTCTCAAAGGCATATTCTCTCGTGCAGGGGTGGAGTGGACATGTGCTGCTCAGTGCTCTTGGCTTGGTCGTCATCTTCGTCGAGGTAGAGTGATTAATGCAGCCTGTGTCATTACAAAATTAGCGACTGAATAATTGTTCAACTAACCTCTTGCTAATTTCCTAGTTACGGTCGTGGTCCCTTGTGTTCTCTTTTCCTAGAATGGGGTTTCCTTTTTTTACCATTGACCAGAAATGGTCTAAAATGGTTTTAAAATACTTGTTTCAAATGCAAATACTCCTGTTTAAGAACTGTACTAGAACCAAACTACTTTTTTGTTGGAATCCCATTTTTTCCTGTTTATTAATCGATGTCTTGCGGCGTCTAACTCCATTTTTTCCTTTCACCTTCGGCTTCAAATAAGCAGCCGTCGAGCTCCCACCCGCCCGCAAGAGACAAGCACCCACGCGCCAGCGCAAGAGCTCGGGAAAGGGAACTGTCGGAAAAGCCGCCCTTTTCCTTGTCTTGTTTACTCGGTTTCCTTGGTACTCCCGGCGATCCCCTCCAAAGTCCAACCACGCCGCTCTAGATCTCTCCGACGTGCTCTGCACTTGGATTTCGCCGAGCTTCTTGGGAGTGCAGGCCCCAGAGAACCAGCGCTATAAGAGGGGGGCACCAACTCCATCTCCCCCCTGGTGCCGCATTGAGTTCTTGAGGTGCGCTTCATTGAGAACTTGTTCATTTTTGTTGGTCATGTATGTCATTTTATTGCTCGGCCCTTTTGGGAATAAAGGCCCGGAATGTTCTTATTAGAAGAGTTCATCAATCTTACGTTCTTTGTTCCATTATCTAAAAAATCAATCTTATGTTGGTTTCTTGGATTAGTTCTGATCCATGGCTAAATGGTCGAACTGAGTGATTATGCAGTCCGTTTCATCATAAAATTAGCGAGTGAATAATTGTTCAGTCTCTTCCCAGAACTCATTACAAGTAGAACCAGCTGCTAACTACTGATTTTATTTTTCTTAGATTAGAATGGCTGGGGTTATCTCTCACCATGCGCTGGCATCTTCGCAATCCCACTGGTGCCGTGCGAAGAACTCTAGATTCGAAAAGAGGGCGGGCAGTGTCCGCTTGGTTTATGTAAAGGGAAGCTGTGGTTCAGGCAGCCGAAAACTGGGTTTGGTGTGGGCCTCGAGCTCGCAGTCTTCTGTCATGGAGCCGATGCAGCTACCATCGGATGGCAACAGTGGCCATACCCCAAAGAAATCAAGTAATTTTAACGACTTCCATTTGAACGAACTCGTATGGTTGTTACTTGTTTGTTTGTTTTTTTTTTTTTGAGAAAATTGGCCATTTGCCACATTTAACTTTGGGTTTCGCAAATATGGGGCATATAAGTTCTGTAAATCTGTTATCTTTGTGCCGTTGCAGGTGAAAGCGCTCTTATATTGATTCGGCATGGCGAATCCCTGTGGAATGAGAAAAATCTGTTTACTGGTTGCGTTGATGTACCCCTGACACCAAAGGGTGTTGAGGAGGCCATTGAGGCAGGTAAAAGGATATGCAATATCCCAATCGATGTAATATATACTTCATCACTGATTCGTGCTCAGATGACCGCAATGCTTGCCATGATGCAGCATCGGCGCAAGAAGGTTTGTGCGTCTTTCCTTTATCGAAAACGTTTTAGCAATTTCTTCTAGCATGTGTATCAACTGCCCTGAGAAATCATGCTATGTGTTATATGTATCTACAGATCCCAGTTATCATGCATAATTAGAGTGAACAAGCTCACAGGTGGAGTCAGATATACGGTGAGGAGACAAGGAAACAGTCCATCCCAGTCATAACAGCTTGGCAATTGAATGAACGGATGTAATACTTTCTCCATATTCTTTGATTTGCTAATTATATAATTTTAATAGTTGTTTGACTGTGTTTTTGTCTTGAAATATCCCTTGACATTTCTAGGTATGGTGAGTTACAATGCCTTAATAAGCAAGAAACTGTAGATCGATTTGGCAAAGAACAAGTTCATGAGTGGCGCCGCAGTTATGATATCCCTCCCCCAAGTGGAGAAAGCCTAGAGATGTGTGCTGAGAGAGCTGTTGCTTATTTCAATGATCAGGTATAGTTCGCAAGGCCATTTTACACTATTTGGAAGATACACTATTTACCTGGATTATTGGTCTCCCTGCTGCTAACTGTTGTAGTATTGGTAATTATGCTAAAGGTTATGTGTTGAATTGATGCATTCCTGTACTGTGCAATACGCCGATGCATGTGCTTAGTTTACCTTTCCATTGTGCTAGCTCATATCAAATTTATAGCCTGATTTTCTTTTTTATCTTCGACTGTAAAAGCAGTTTTTTCTAGTTCAATCTGACCTATAGAAGTTCTTTTTCCTAATATAGATCGTTCCACAACTTGTGGCTGGAAAACATGTGATGGTTGCTGCACATGGGAATTCACTTCGTTCAATTATAATGCACCTGGACAAATTAACTTCTCAAGAGGTAATTTACTGTCTTTTTTATCTTTCCCTCAAAAAGGACTTGGCTAAACAGAACATGTAGCATTATGTTAAATTTGGGAGTGAGCCTTTTGTCCCTTCAGGTAATAAGCCTTGAGCTGTCTACTGGCATTCCCATGCTTTACATATTCAAGGAAGGAAAGTTTATTCGACTAGGACCTTCGGAGGCCAGTGTTTATGCTTATACCAGGGTGAGATTCTTTGCCCCATGTTTCTAACAAAGGACGATACTCTATTTTACGAACCTTATCTGTCAGACGAAACAATTTGGTGAGCACATTACATTTCAAAACAGATTGACCAAGAAGATAACAGTTCTGCTGGTCAATATCTGAATGCTCACAAAGCTCATGTATTTGTGTTTTACATGATTATTCTAACCATTGAGCAATTTAATAAATCTCAGAAAATTTTACTTAAGCTTTGTTAAATGTAAAAAGGACACACAGAAAATCTTCTTATTTTAATAAGTTGGGTGTGTTTGATGGCAATAGGTTTTGTGCTCAAATTAAAGTTTTGAAAATATATTGCTACTTTCGCTTTCACAATGTTAAACCACTGTTTCAGGTGGTACTGTGGAAGCCCTTGTGGACTTAACATTTTTAATTGCATGCATATTTCTTTATCTGTGTTACTGTGTTAGTGCATAACACATACATATTATTTTTTCTTTAATAGTTTTTATGAGTTTCTTGTACTTTATTTCCTTTTGGAAATTCTGCCATTTATTAACTTATGTGTGTTGTTCGCATTAACCTGCTTGCAGACCTTGGCTAAATACAGACAGAAGCTTGATAGTATGGTTCAGTAAAAGGTCAGTGAATATTGAATAATCTAGTAAGTTCAGTTCCCATTGAATATTCCAACTGACGCTAACTTTATGTTATGTTGTTACCTCTTGACGTTTCAGACACTCCACTTGGATCATGACTCAATATTTCTTTGTCGACTATGTCTGTTTTTTGGAGAAATGGTTAAGCAAACTCTTGGCATGAGGATCATTTTTGACTGGGACAAAATTCATCAATTGGGAGCTTCTTTTGTAAACAAACATGTGCAATGGCTATAGTATGGGGTAGAAGTAGCATCATATGTTGTATATTTATTTGAATTTGTTGAGAGTGATATACATTTGTTTTTCCATTTTTTGTTTTTTCAAGCTTTCTAGTCCTGATAGAGAAGCTAGACCTATTTAATCGTGTAGCTCTCTGTCCTATATATTTTAACTTTTGATGACGTAAAACTATAAATGATTATATTTGAAGCTATGGGAAAAAAATACGGTGGTTTTTTTTTTCTTTTTGAGGGAAAAATACGATGATTTAGCTCCCTGTAAATAAAAGACTAAACTAAGGCCTGTGATTTTTTAGGGCTAACTAAAGGCCTTGCCGATCTACAGCCTACAGGGAACCAAAAAGGCCTAATTAGCAGGCTTTTAAAAGATTCTTTTTTCAGGGCCTAAACCAAACAAGCCGCTGAATCAGAATCAGCCCACTCAGCCCGGACTCTTCTAGATCCTTCTCTTCTTCTTCTTCTTCTTCTTCTTCATTTTGAAACCGACTCTTCTAGATCCTAAAAACGCACCCGCCGCCGCCAGATTTCGTGGAGCCACAGCCGTCCATCCGTAGCCGACGCCGCCTCCACAACCATAGCTGCCTAATCTCCGCTGTAGATCCAACCATAGCTGCCGCATCCGTCGATGGATTCTGTCGGTGAACATGGAGACGAGGAGTTCATCGATCCCATATCGCCGCGAGCAACTCCCGCCGTCAGGGATTGCTTCTCGGAGCCGTCCACTGCTGCAGTTGGTCGGGGCATGCCTCCACGACGTCGATCTGGTGGACTGGAGGGGCTCGACCTCAACTCCCATTCCACCGAGCTCCCCCAAATGAACTCGTTCCAGGGCCTGGTTCAGTCCTCGCCGGTCCGAGGCAATGGACCTTCTCGATCCACCGGTGGCCATGCGAAACGCCATGACTCCGGCGGGGATGCTGTTGCCACGGTGGGGAAACCGTTTCGCTCTCGTCGGACTGCCGGTTCTGCTTCTGCTGGCAGTGGCGATGCCGCTACCACCGCAGGTGTGTCTGGTGGTGTAACTCCTGTCTTCGGCACTGCCGCTGCTGCAAGTGGTGGGACGCCTCGGGCCACGGTCATCCCAACTGGGGCTGGTAGCAGTGGTGGCACTCCGCTGTTTCCTGCCACCGGCCTGGAGGAAGTTGAAGCTGCAGGCCTGGAGGACGAAGACGAAGGGTTTGATCTTGGGTATTCGGTAAGAACATTTTCTTCACGCGTGCTTACTATTGTGATTGTATTGTCTCAATGGTAGTAGGGTCGTTAGTTTGATGGTTAGTGATGATTATTCGGGGTTGGAAGATGTTTTGATTGATCCCAATGTCAATATCAATTGTTGGATTGAGCATGATTGAGTTGTGTTCATGTGAGAAAGATCGTCAGTGCATCACAAGTCAGATTAGTGTGCATGTGAGATTGTTTATGGTCATGAGGTGCATTGCTCACGGAACTTTGTGTATGAAACAGCCACACAAGTAGGCTAGACCATAATTGCTCTTGATCAACTGATTGATGTTTGTGGAATTTGTTAATTCAAGGAGGCTGTGTTAATTCTCATGTCAGATATTCAAGTAGGCTGTGATGACTGATGACGTTGTTTCTGAATTTGTTGAGATGAGGGCATTCTGTTAGGCAGTCGACTAGTAGTAATCTGAAGAGGGGTAGTTACTAGTTACAGCTCTAGCCCAAGGAAGAAATCAAAGAGTCCAATGGTCAAGATATGAAGGGCCTTTTAGAGAGAATGTAGTCCAACAGTGCTATAGGCCAAATGATGATGGTTGGGGAATTGAGGGCAGAATCCATCAAGAAAACTGTGCATTTGGCTGTAGAAAGTGGGGCAGCAGATTGCAGCATTGAGTATTTCATGGCTAGTCAACTCTTTTTTTGTGAAAGCCAAAAACCGCAAAATCATCTTCACCTTTGCCACCAATGAAGTCTTAGTTGGTTAAAGAGGTGGTACTACCATGCAAGGAACATGTACTCCTAGAGTTATTAGTCATGAACTTGTTAGTTGGTTAGAGTACTGGCCTAGTATATTTCATATAAAGAATGGTAATATTGTCTTGTGCCTTAATTTTTCCTTGCTGATGCTGCATGGTAACAGAATGGCAACTTGGATGTGTATGGTTTGTCCTCTACTTGCTGACTATTACTGTGTTGGATAGTTGGTCATGATCCAAACAGGGCCATAGTAGTCTGTTCCATGATTCACATATTTCTGAAAGACTGCCTGCATTAAGGATATATTTGTGGACTGCTACATCAGTCTACAATAGTATGTTCCTGCATATATCTTGTTCTTTTCAACATTTAAACTGTTGTAATCCCATCATTTTGTTTGCAATGGAAATTCTTGCAGTTCTTGTAACTTGGGATACATCTGTAGCATCTCATATAACCAATTTGTGCCTGTACATATTTCTTGGTGATGAGCATGTTAAGGCATTCAAAGTTCTTGTAACTTGTGGTACATCTGTACCATCTCATATTGCTTCTTGGAACATTTGTCTGTATAGAGAACATACAACCTGTTAAGGCGCATTTCATATCGCTTCTTGTAACTTGGGGTACATCTGTATCTGTACCATCTCAATTTTGTGTGTTTGTACTAAACATGATCACCTCAATCTTGTTTCACTGATTTTTGTACTGCATGTAGTTGAACTTTTGATCATCTGCAATTTTGTTCCACTAATTTTGTACTGCTTGTAGATGAACTTTTCTTCAAGTGATGACGAGGACGATTCTTCAAGTGATGACTCTTCAAGTGATGACGAGGACGAAACACTTGAGGTTGCATTGAATCACCTGAAGATGATGCAACAGTATGGTGCCATTGCATGCATGCTTGCTGGTATGTACTACCATGATACTTTCATGAAAAAATCGAAGAGAAGAAAAACAAACCATCCGGATATGAAGAGGAAATGAGCTCTTAAGAACCCAACAGCTTGCTTCAATATGGTCAGGATGGGTAGGGAACTTTTTGATAGGCTCCATAATTTGCTAGTATATCATCACGTCTTGAAATGAAGGAGCAAGACCATGCATTCAAACAAACCTACAGATGGTGGCTAACGAGAGTAGTTTATGGTGTTGAGCTGGAGCTACGGCACTCCATGAAGTTTCAGGGTTGTTCATGGTGGTTTGTGTGTGTGTATGTTGTGGTGCTACTGTGGGTGTGTTGACTGTTGAGGGGGAATGTCTCCGCCTCTCTCCTGGTTAATGAAAGACACCTAGTTCTCATGCATTGTTAGATGAAAAAAATTGTATGGCTTGAAGTCATCAAATAAGTTGATGTCCATATGGGACCGTTCGCTGCAGCTTCTTTGTAGCGGCGGCTGTTTGCACAGTGATAATACCCTGGCATACCTGCTTTAGCGATGTTTTTATTGATCATTAGTGCTCCGCAATAAATTAGACAAGCTATAAATCGATTTGAGAGGTAAAAGAGGTGTGCTGTATGGTGTTATAAGCTTTCAGCTAATATTATCAAACTAAGAAATTAGAGTACGTATTCAATTTTATACGTTCGTCCATTTGCAATGCCATCGACTGTTCATTTGGTGGTTGAAGATTAAGCGAAGGATTTTGTCTTACCCAAGCCTAAATCAAACTATAATAATAATAATACTTGCATGCATGGTACTGTATAATTTTATTCGAGGACTTATGATGACGGACGCGGACTTTTTGAGGTGTGATTCGAGGTAATACATGCCAATCGTCACTTGTCGCAGCCGGGCAACCGCGTTCTCGAAGTCATAGTCAGGCTCCTCGCTTGTCTTCAACGAATTTTAGTACAAATTGAACTGGCCAACATTTGGCTTTGAGCTATCATTTGGTTTTGAGCCAACCTTAGTGATCGACATCTCAATAATAACTCATCTTAACAACCTCCCACTTATATCCCAACAATTCCCATCTATCAAGCACATCTCTACACCCTCAATATCTCACCTCCACACTCTAGTCGACAAGGACAGTTCCTGCCATCCTCGCCTCAACGGTCTCAAGCCGGACTTTAACCAACCAGGGGAAAAAGCACACATCTCTCACTAGTTGAAGTTAAGCAGAAGAACATGAATGACCATCGATCTAAAAATGTGTGGAGCGTGTACACCTACCACAATAGCATAGCATGTGTATAAAGCAAGTGTCTATCCTAACAGCAGGTATGCCAGGGTGATAGGTTACGACAAAACAAGGCTCACAATTAATGTACCATGCACCATTACCACATAGCATATACACAAATAAAGTGCTAGCCATCTAGTTACATGTCTAATGTAGGGTTCTGCAAGTAGGTGAGACATGACACCTTCGTTAACAAGGTCGTCACCCTAGGACTCTGGACTATCGACAAAGTAAATCTTTGTTGTTTTCTTCATGGTCTCTCTTCTCGTATATTCGAGCCACTACTTTCCTCGCATCCCTAGGACCTAGTAGAGCCTATCTAACACAACTTAACACACATGTTAATTAATCCTATTGGTTTGGGTTGTTATCACTGATACCTAAACTATACATAATCATGCACACGGACACATGATCCTTACGTACTAATGCTCACGTGTTATTGTTCCCCCATTATGACGACCTGCCCTACATCACACAGTCAAACCTTGTCGACGTCTTATCAACGCCCTGTTCGCTTGGCTGATAAGCCATAGTTGAAAGTACTGTTGGTTGATTTGTTGTGAGAGAAAAATATTATTCGTTAGTTGAAAAAATACGGCTTATAAGCCAAGCGAACAGGGCGCAAGTCACCATGAAGGATCTCCTATAGTTTTCCATGAGGTCCAGTGAAGAGTAATACTAGTGAACGCCCCCACGAGGTATGAGTAGTCACTACTACAGATATGAGATCTAGTTCCGGTTGGGAACTAGCTCTACTCCTGGTTTCCCAACCGGGACTAGCAATCCGGGATTAAATGTGTTGTTCTTTAGTCCCGGTTTGCCATAACCAGGACTAAAGATCCTCCCAGCTTTAAAAAAAAAATACCTCCCACCTCCGGCTTTGCCACAACCCGACTAAATTCCTCCCAACCCAATACCTCCCACCACTGCACCCGTGAGATTCAACCCAAGACTTCATGCCGCCTCTCACGCAGAGCTTACCACCCCACCTACACAACACATCTAACAATGGATGGGATGCTTTCCTTTTTAACTAACCCATCGGGGGACCTTTAGTCTGGGTTGGTATTACCAACCGGGACTAAAGGTTGGAGGACTTTTAGTCCCGATTGATGGCTCCAATCGGGAGTAAAGGTCCACCTTTAGTCCCGGTTGGTGGCTCCAACCGGCAATAGCTGTTGGGCAGGGGCCTTTAGTCCCGGTTGGAGTCACCAACCGAGACTAAAGGCCTCTCTAGTCCCGGAGGCAAAAAAATGCCGAGGCTAATGCCAAATTGGGACATCGTTCTAAAATCTGTTCTCTAGCAGTGAGTCAAAGGTCGAGAGGATAGGCACCATGTACCGTGTGAAGAGGAGCGAGCCGAGTAGTCAAAAGTCGGGCGGATAATAGCACCATGTATGTGTTGAGAGGAGCGAGCCACATCACACCCTCTAGGTGAAGGGTTCGAGTGAGCACTACATGCACGAAAAGGATCGTATAAGCGAACATGTGTCACACATCGAAGGCGGTATGTACGTCCAAAGGTTTGGAGCTCGTCATCACTGGATTTGCTTCCCTATGTGGCGAAGTGGGTGTGTACGCATATAGGATGAAAAAGTGGCAAATTTGCGAAGCCCGCTATGGCAAATAGCTAATTTTCTTTCTTAGACCCAGCAGGGCCAATGGTCATCCTTTGAGCAACACGTGCTTAATTTCTATGCTGAAATGCCACAATGCCTCTGCCAGGCCTCAACCACCACTAGACCTGTTTCACTAATCATGTTTTCAAGAGCTAGAAGCTAGAAATCCTCTCGAAAGGCTAAACCCAACTCTAATCAAATCCCTAACTTCGCAAGAGTTTTTCACCACCAACACCTCTAGGCTGATTTCACAACCATCTTTTCAAGAGCTAGAGACCACAAATCTGCCCGGAAAGGCTAAACCCAACTCTAATCAATCCCTAACGTCGCAGGAGTTCTTCACAGCCACCACCCCAAAACATGAATTTGGCCATCAATCGGAAAGTTAGAAATTTGGTAGATTCTCTCAACCTAAATCTATCACAAGATTTGGAAACAATCCTCATATATCAATCAAGAGTTACTACAGTTCTAGTAGCAGGTTACTACGCTACAAACACTAACGCAAAGATGAACATGACGAGCCCAAAAACGGTGATCAGCAAGCACTTCATCGACGAGCTGGTCTCATGCGTCAGTGCGGCCCTGGAGAGCTGCTCTTCCGCCTTGCTTGTCTCCATGGCGGCCTTCTCCACGTTGGTCTCGACGACATCGATGGCCCCTTGCTGGTCATGGACTAGCTTTGCGAGGTCCACGGAGATCTCGTTGATCTCAGCGATCTCCTGCTGGATCTTGCATATCTCCCGCTCCCTCTCCTCGACGAGGGCCTCGTTGAAGGTGATCTCGTTGTCCAGCAGGGCTAGCTCCTGCGTCCTCCGTGATTCCACCAGCTGCTGCTGCTGCATCTGGATGTTGTTGTATTGCTGATCGGCGGCGCCGGCAGTGGCATTGACATTGTTCAGTTGTGATGATCCTATGGGAGAGCCGCCGTAGCTGGGCGGCGACGGAGGAGGAAACATCGGCGGCACACGACGGGCGGCGGCGGCGGCGGTTTCCTGGCGATCGGCCTCGATGATCCGGCCCTGCACCCACTGGAACTCCCTGAGCGCGGCCTGGAAGTCCGTGGCCAGGTTGGGCCCGACGGCGGCGGCGGCGGCGGGGTCGGCCAGCCTCCGCGCCGTGTTCCGAGCCAGGCGCGTGACGTCGGCGCGCGCCCTGCGGATGCGCTCCCGGACCACGGGGGCGTCGCCGGCGCCGGCGGCGATCTCGTGCGCGAGGCGGCGGAGCTCCGACACCTTGGTGTTGATCTGGAAGACGCAGTGCGCCACCACGGCATGTGGCGGCGGCGGAGGACGAGGAGGCAGGCCCGCCTCCAGGTCGTGGCAGACGTCCTGGAAACTCATCGGCGTGGTGGCTGTCGGCCTGTCGCGCGCTGTGAGCCGGGGCGTCTGATCCTTCAATGCTGCTGGCGATCTGCGTAGGGAGCGGAGGAGTCGTATATATTTAAGGACGGCGCGGCGGTGGCGGTGGCGGTGGCGGTGTCGCTGGTGAAGCCTGCTGAAACGGAGGCGGCGAGTCGGAGTCGGGCCGAGCGATATGATCGACTTTATCTTACGTCCGTACCGGACTTCGGAGGCAGCGTTGAAACGGAGACAGTAACCCTTCCAATTGCTTGGCAGCCGCCAGCGCGAGAGTGAGTCAGGCACGGAACGGACTGAATATAGATGGATTTGCATATGCGGAATGCGGAATACATGTCGGGGAAGAAGAGGACAGCGCAGAAATCGTTCACAATTTTTGTTTAGAGATTATAGAGAAGAAAATAAGATGTTTTTTTTTGTAAAAAGAAGAAGAAGAATTGTTTAGATTAGAGAAGAAAATAAGATGTTTTTTGTAAAAAAAATGAAGGAAAAGAAAAATACCAAGCTCAGTTGGTGCTCAGTTCATCTGAATTATGGGAGAGATGAATGTGACAACTCGTGTAGTCACGAGAGCATGTCATCATCGCTCGGTTATACACTATTGGGATGAGATAGCTTGGAAGCCGTGACCTCAGGTTAAGAGATCAAACAAGCCAACCAAGGTTTCCATCAACCCGTTATTGTGAAGCTGGGGCACAGATTAAGATTAAATTGTCTGAACAAAACAGCTGGAGTCCATCAACAATGATATCATCCACGTCAGCAGGAAAACAATTTCCGTCCAATTTACATTCGACGGCTAATTATGGGC